CACCGGGCCACGGCCCCCTCCGGGCACAGTCGCAGGGAGCTCTGGCTGCCCAGCGTCCCCGGAGCTCCAAGTCGCCCGTATCCTGTCTCCGGGGCCCGGGACAGGAGCCCACTCCTCCTCCTGGGCGTACCCCAGCGTCATTACGGCTGACTCCTGACTCTGGCCTTCAGTTCTGCTAGGTACCCGCTGAGTGGACCTTCCCCGGGGTCCTGGGTTCTCCCTTCCCACACACGGAGGGCTCTGTTCTCCCAGGGACCTAGGAAAGTCCCTCCGCAGGCCCAGGGGGTCACCGTCCCCCAGGAGCTGGGCAGTTGCTTCTCCCTGAGCCACCTCCAGGGCTGGTGAGATGTGGCCTTCCCATGCCTGCCAGGCTTTCATTTCCTGACCCTGAGAAGCTTCCTCTCCAAGGCACTTGGGACCATTTCCAGTTTGACTCTCAGGAGCCTCTGGGTTCTCTCCCTGGGGTGCCCCTTCTCTCTGACCCTGCGGGTCTTCCCTGCTCTTACTCTCTTGTGGCTTTTCTCCCTGACTGGGAGGGACTTCTTTGTTCTCCCTTTGGGAGGCCTCCCCTTTCTGACGCCCAGGGACTGCCTCTCTCAAACTCTGAGGAGGGTCCAGCAGCAGCAGTTTTTGAGGTTCTAATCTCTCTCTGTTCAGGCCCAAGCAAAACTCCTTGGGTGGATCTTGGGGTGCTGGCAGGCCTTGGGAAGTCAGGCCGGAGGGCTCTGGGGTTTCCTGACTGAGCTTTCCCTCCTGTGGGCTCCTGAGTGTTGGTGAGTGGAGTTGTTGGATTGTAGGCTCTGCTTGGCTCTTTTCCCTCTGGGCCAGGTCCTAGGAAGGGAGGGAGCACCTTGGGTTCAGGCTTGTGTGTAGTGCCCGTGGAAGAGCCCTTTCCCCAGGGAAGCTCGGACACCCCAGTGGCTGGTCCTTGCCTGATTTCTGATTTTTTTTTTTCCCCTGGTACCAGCAATCAAACTCAGGACCTTGTATTTGCCAGGCAGTTGCGGCGACACTGAGCTAAACCCCTGGCCCTGCCTAATTTCTGAATTTTCAGAGGCCATTTTATGTGTTGTAAAAGTTCTTCAGTGTTGGTCCCTTCTTCACTTGGCTGCAGGAGGCAGCCCCCCCTTCCCCAGCAGCCTCCCCCCAAGAAAACCCCACCTGAGCTGTCTCCAACCTGAGAGAGGCCTTGCCCAGGTCCCTTTGATCCTTTCCCTTTGAATGCTGAATTTTCCGGCTCCTCAAAGTGCCTGCTGGTGGTAGGGTTCATCTCCTGTAAGCAACCTGAAGGAGAAAGACCAGTGTTGAGAGCTCTCTGTCATGCCGCGGTCCCTCACAAACATTTCCCTGAACTGGACCTGAGAAACCTGGTGTAGGAGACAGGGTGGAACCCTGAGGGCACTCCTTGAACTTCATGGTTATCGAGTTGTTCTCCCACCTGTATTCCCGCAGCCTGTCACGCACCTGCTTGTTAGCTGTGCCTGCTAGCAGCTGACCCCATCTCCCTCATCCTCTCAGCCAGGGCAGACCATACTAAAGCACCCTGCACATCCTCTTCCCCGTGACAACTACAGTTTGCCTGGGAACAAGAAGATCTCGTTTTCTGGGGTCCCTCTGCACAAGGACACCCCACCTTGTCCTGGTGTGCCAGTTCAGACCCATAGAAGAAACACTGTGCCATACCTTCCCCTGTTGTTAAGGAAAATCCTCTTTTACCCCTTGTTTCTGACCCCAAACTCTAATGAAATTCAAGAAATGAAATTCGAAGCCAAGCCTGGCCTAAAAACTGCAAGTGTTCATCATTAACAAAAGAAATCTAAAAAAAGAGATGCTGTCGCTGCTGCCTTGCAGCTGTGGAGGAAGGAGATGTTCTGCATCCATCAAACTAGCTAATGGAACCTGATTTCATAAGGTCTTAAATTGAGATCTTTCATAAGAATATTGCATGTTGTTCTGGTAGTCAATAAAGAGACGTGTGAATATTCATAACTTCAACCAAATGAGTATGTTCTCCGTGACAATAGATTTTCACAGGGATTTTGAACAGAGAAGTTTAGTAAGACTCAAGCCTTTAGAAATGATTGCTAAGAACTGTGAGAACAATTTCCCACCCCTCCCTTGAGGTGCTCATCTGTTGTCTTACTAGAGTTTATTTCCCAGGTAACAGTATAATTAATAACTATCTTCCGAAGAGATAAAATGCCTCCAAAAGCTTCTGTCAATCAGGAAAGAATATTGGCACTCTCCTGTCATCTGTGTGATAGAACAATTAAAAGCTTATGATTGTCAGGCATGAGGGTACATACCTCTACTCCCAGTACTTGGGAGGCTGAGGCAGGAGGATTACCATGAGGTTAGTGTGGGCTGATACTGAGTTCAAGACTAGCCTGAACTAAATAGTGAGACCCTGAAGAACAACAGAAGTCCTTGGACTTGGGCTGAGAAGGTCCATTGCCTTCCAACCTAGTCTGACTTCTGCAGCTCCAGGGGTTCCCTGCTGTCCTGGATGCCTGACCCCTCCTGTTGACATACCAGGTGTGGCCTTCTCAGGTATGCCAGGGCCCTCCTGCGTTGGGTCTGTGTCACTCCTGGCTTCATCCAGATCCAATGCAGACAATGGGCCTGGTTCCTGCTCCCTGTAGGAATCCAGGGGCTACTCAGGTGGCCCATGGGCTCAGGGGTAAGGAGGGAGCCTGGCTGCCAGGCTTCCTACTCCCACCAGCCAGTGTCCAAACTCTGAGTTCAGGGTGGCCTCCCCCAAACCCTGTACCATTTAGATCCTGGGAGACAGAATTCAGGGTCACCCTACCAGAGGTGGTGGGGCAACCGTGTGTTCAACTGAGTGAGGGCCTAAAAGGAGCCAGAAGCATGAGTAGGGGCACTGGGCAGGACTGTGGAAGGAGACAAGGGAAAGGGTTCTTGGTTGCTTTGTGAGGAAACAAGAGTGAATGTAAGATTCCCAGGAGACTCACGCTCCTGTGAGCTGATGGTTCTGGTGTTGGAAGTGCTCGGCCTGGAGTGAAGCATACAGCCTGGAACCCTGAAAGGGTTGGGAACCCAGGCCCACGGGACAACGCCCCCCCCAATGTGGAGGGCAGTCCCTAAGATGGCCCCAGGGTCCCTGCCTTCTAGTATTCAGGCCCTTGTGTGACCATTTCCCCTCCACAGAAAGTGCTTGGAACACGTCCCTCCTGCCCACTCGAGCCTTGCAAGGAGACTGTGGCCTTGACCCACAGTGCTGGCAAGAACTTCAGTGATCACCATCAACCCTCCCTCCTGTGGCTCATAATACCATAGCCCAAAGCAGCTACTGACTGGCCAGCCTACCATGACTTACTTAGGCAGCCAGTGGCTGAGCTGGGACTCGGATCCACATCCCCAGCTCTCAACTCTATGTGGGGCCATCACCATAGCAACCCCCTCCTGGACAGGAGGGCTGCTCAGTGTTTCAATCTCAGGGCAGCCCTGGGCACCAGGGCCTCTGTCCTCCAGAAGCCCGGGCAGCCATATTAAAAGGCTTCCCAGCATTACCGCACAGTTGATTGACCAGTCTGGTGGTTAATTGTGGAATAATAGTAGCAGCCTACAAGTAACAAACATGTAGTGTGTGCCAGACTCCATGAGATTCCCTCTGATGCATTCACAGTCCCTTCCAACAGCCTTGGAGAAGGATCTGCCATCATCCTCACAGGCCACAGGGACTGTCAGAGCAGATTTGTGGGCAGAGCTGTCAGTCTCCAAAGTCCACACACCTTCCACTTCCCTCACCTCCACCACTGCCCTAAAGCATGTGCCCTTGCTCACCTCACTCACCTGCTGCCTGGAGTCCCCACCCATCCTACCAAGGGGCTGACTGCGCTGACTCCTTGTGTCCTGGGCCTGGTGCCTCTGACACCGGAAACGCCAGGGGGTCCAGAAGAGGCCCAGGCCTGCCCCAGTCAGCAGCTCCAGGTCCCAGAGGAGCTGCAGGAAGGTGGGGAGCCAAGGTGTGAGGGGGCACCAGCCCTGTCCTCTGCCACCCACCCCTCACTGGCCACCCCACCTGCTCCTGGGCCCACCGGCTCCACTCCATCTCCAGTAGCACAGCGGGCAGTGCCAGCTCTAGGGGGCAGTCCTGGCCCTCTTGCACCTGGGTTGGGCAGGAAGAAAGCATCAGACCCCTGCCCGCCCCCTCAGAGGCAATGCCCAGCCTCACCTGCCGCAATGCAGCCTGGAGCTGGCCCAGGCCTGCAGGGCGCCGGAAGAGGAGCTGGTACAGGGCCAAAGCCTGCTCAGAGCTACATGGGAGCCCTGGGCCCCCAGGAGTGGCTGCCTGCGCCATGGAGAAGGAGTTGCAGCAGATGTCCCGTCCCTCCTCTGCCTCTGCCACCAGAGCCTGGAAGGTGGAGGATGGGCACTGATGACAAGAGCAAGGTGGGACAAAGGCTCTGCTCTCAATAATGCAGGGCCCTGACATCTGAGCCAGGGCCTATCTGTACCTGAGTCTCATGGATGCCAGGCTGACTCTGAGACAGGTTTCTTGGCAGTGTGGAGCACTGAGTGTGACCTAGGCAGAGAGGTGTGCATGCTCCTTTGCACATACACACACGTGCATGGCCATGTGAACTCTGTGACTGCGGCATGTGGGCACGCCGCAGCTGCGCCCCGTGTAGTCAGCAGCGATGGCAGTGGCTCTCAGCAGTTTGGACAACCCTTTCCACAGAAGCTCTCCTCCTTGTGCTGCAGGAAGTAGGGGCTTGTCTCATCCAGGTTTACAGATAAGCAGATAGCTCCAGAGAGTTTCTTGCCCTGACGCATGGCCATGTTTCCCTCATCTGCATACGGATGATTGTGACAAATAAGCTCTGGGAAAGCTTAGTCCCAGGAGAGGAGTCTGTTCGTGACCAGAGGTGGGACAGTGAGTGCAGAGGTCTGCAGTCAGCCCAGCATCACCACCCGAGACAGGAGGTGCATGCTGTCGCTGTCCTTGTTTGACAGATGAGATCATTTGTGTATAAGCAGGACAGGGACAGGACACATGAGATGTCTGGGTTGTTGAGTGTCCCCCAAGGCCACAGGTAAAAGGCTTGGCTTGGGCTGGGGATTTGGCTCAGTAGTTCCAGCGCCTGCCTTGCAAGTGCAAAGGCCCAAGTTCGATCCCCAGTACCCAAAAAACAAACAAACAAACAAAAAATAAATAAAAGCCTTGGCTCTAAGGGTGACATTACAGAAAGCACTGTGTGCCTTTAGGAGATGGGGCCTGGTGGGAAGTTCTCAGGTCACCAGCAGTATGGGAACCCTGTCCCATCCTGCCCCCACCCGTTTCCTGGCTCATGATAGAAGCAACTGGCTCCAACATACTCTCCCTCTCATTGCCATCGAGTGCCTCCAGCAGAGGCATAAAGCAATGGGATGCTTGATCTTAGGTGGGAACCTTTAAAACCATGATCCAAAATAAACCTTTGCTCTTTAAAAAAAGAAGTGCCTTATATATTTCATTACAGTAATAGAAAGCTGACTAATACAGGTCTACATGCTGTGCTTGTCATCAGCAGCTTTGCCTGCAGCCTTGTCACGGCTCCATGACGCTTGAAGCAAACTCTGCTCTCTGGGCCCCAATGAGAACAGCCTTCCCAAAAGAGGGTGGAGCTGGTGCAGCACATGATCTTCAGTTCAACTCAGCACTCTCTCACCTAAGTCAACAATCAAAGGCTTAGCCATGTCCTCCCCTGGAGCACTGAGTCCTCACTCCCTGTTATAGGGGCTCATAATGACAGTGGAGTCCCCCTAATCTTTTAGCCACCGTCCATAAGACTCTAAGGTCACACAGCTGATACCTGGCAAGGAGAACTAGAACCCTAAAATTTTCCATTTTGAAACCCATGGCCTCTCCCCTACCACATCTTTGCAGGCTGCACATGTGCCTACTGTCCACGCGCATATGGGGGGTGTGGCTGGGGCACAGACAGTTGTGCATGCACGCACTGCATATGTTTCTGAAAGTGTTTGTGCACGTGTTTCTGTATTTCACCCCTGGGTATTGTCCCTCCTCCCCTCCTGACATGAAGTCCATGTGTCACCAGCTCTTGGAATGGCCCAGAAGGTGCTCAAGTGCTCAGGACCACCAAACATGAAGAAAGAAAGGGGAGCTATGAGCAGTTTCTTGGTGGCTGCATAGCTTAGGGTCCCACAGGGATCCAGAGAGGCCACAGGCCATGCCTGCTACAGACCAAACAGATCAGAGGCCAGGCCACCTGAGTCCTCCTGCCCATTTCAAGGTTTCCCAGATGACATTAGAGCAGCCCAGGCATATGGGCATAAGGACAGAGTAAGGCTCTCTGACTCTGGGGACACTGAGTGCTGACTCCATGTTCCCAGCAGCCCGAGCCACCTCCCTGGTGCCAGGAGAAACACACACAGGAGGGAGTCTTGAGCAGGCCTAGAGTTTACTGCCATGTTTCTCTGCAGGACGCAGACCCAGGCTCCCAGGGCCCGAGCGGGGCATTGTTCCCACAGCTCCGGCTGGGTTGGCTGCTGCTCACCAAGGGAAGGCACCAGGAGTTCTGGCCAGGTGTCTTCCTAGCTCAGGGTGGAGCCAGGGCCAGATCCTGGCTGGGGCTGGGCAGAATGTGGAATGGCTGGGACCTCTGTGAGCAGGACAGGGGGACAGGCCTCAGGGCGGATACAGTGGGCCTCATGCTCCACCAGGCCTGCAGGACACTGGCAGCCAGGGACGCAGGGCCTCACACAGTGGGCTGCCAGCTCCCCCAGGGGGATGTGCCGATTGAAGCAGGTACGGGGACAAGGCGGGCCACACTCATCAAACACGAAGCCACGGTCCAGGGGGCAGCCCACCACTGCAGGCAGAATGGAAGGCAGGATCACAGAGGTCCCCCAACATCGCTCTGGTCACTGTGCTCACATCTTGCAGGCTTTTCCCTGTACCCACCCCATGCAGACCTGAGCCCCCTGGGCCACCCCATCCCTCTGCACCATCCCTTCCCCCACCTGCAATCTCATCGCCCCCTCACCACACGGTGTAGGGCCCCTCCAGACAGGTGTTACACCCGCATGGCGACAGTGACTGGCATAGGCCTCTAGGGCATCACAGAGGCATGCATCAGCCAAGGAGCCAGGGCCACAAGCACATAGGTCGTACACACAGGCAGCAAAGAAGGGCTCTGGTGGCACCACAGCATGGCAGCGGCTGAATGAAGAGGATTTCAGCAGCCCACATCGAGCGTTGGCCTCACGCCTGGCACGGTACCCTGCTGCCCGACACGGGTGCACTTCTTGGCCTGCAGAGCAGAGCTGGCCAGGCCCCGGCCCATCTGGGACCTACATGGGGAGAATAACCCCAATGTGACAATAGTGCTGGCAGCTGATCTTTGTGTGCTGTATCTTCACTCCGGAGGCTGAGGCAGGAGGATCGCGGTGAGTTCGAGACCAGCCTGGGCTACATAGTGAGTTCCAGGTCAGTCTCAACTACATAGTGAGGCCCTGTCTCAAAAAAAAAAAAAAAAAAAAAAAAAAAAAACCACAAAAAAAAAAAAAACTGCCTGAACTACAGAGCAAGGCCCTGTCTCAAAAATCAAGTCAAAACAAAACACTACCTTCAAGAAGTGCACAGGATGTCTCATCTACCTTTCCTTGTCCTCATTTTATAGATGAAGAAACCAAGGTAAGTGACTTTCCAAGCTCAACAGCCAATAAGTGGCGAAGCAGGTCTTAGGGATTCAGTTGATTAGGCTTCCCTTATTGGCAATCATACTGCCCACCACTGGCATGGGTCCCCTACTGCTCCCTGAAAGCCCAAAAGCCCATCCTGGGCCTTCCTTCCACACCAGAGGCTGCTCTGGGACTCACACCAGCTATGCCCAACTCTTTCAGCCTGCTCCAGCTACATTCCCTGTGCCACTCACCTGCCAGCTATTCCCAAATACAGCTTCTGTGGGCAGAAGGAGCCCATCAGGACCCTGCAGATCATCCTGGGCAAAGCCATTGAAGTTCCCGCAGAGCCCACAGGTCTGGCCCCGGTAGGAGCCAGGTACCCTCACCTCCACCTGGGACCGCCCGTCCCACAGCACCTGCACAGAGAGGCCTGGGAGTAGGGAAAGAGATGGCCCCCAAGGTGCCCGAGGTCTGCCATGGGCCTGTATGTGTCAGCACACCTTGAGCCACAGCAGGAAAGATGGGCAGGGACAGACCCTTCACAGGAAGGATGCTGCCCTAGCCTAGGTCGTGAAAGCGCCCACAGAGCCACCCTAGGCAAACATAGGTGACAGTAGATCTGCCCACAGCTCTTAAATGAGGGCCACTTCTCCATTAGGACCCTTCAATTTGGCCCCGGGTGCAATGCTACCCTCTTCTGAGATTCAGCATCTCCTGAACACTCAAGCTTACAGTTACAGCCTGGATCAGAAGAGCACACAAGGCTGATTTCATGAAGATATGCTTCTGGCTGGGACAGAGGGGCACGTCAGTCTTCCATACGGGGTCAGGAGACCTTAGTTGACATCTTCCCGCCCCTACTTGCCCGCTCCCCACTTTGCAGATGACAAAACTGAGTCTCAGAGGTTGGCCCAAGTTGCTCTAGCATATGGGTGGCTGAATCAAGATTAAAACCAGGAGCTGGGTGTGTAGCTCAGTAGAACACTTGCCTAGCATGTGCAAGGCCCTGGGTTCAATCCCTAGCACTGCCAAACAAAACAAAACCATGCCTAGAATTCCTCTCCTGGGAATCAGCTGCATGATCTCTTTCACTCTCTCTGGGCCCAGGAGGTATAGTACTCTGTCTCTCGGACAGCCTAGATACATACGACCGTGGCTCTCAGGTCTTCCCTTGGGAACCCGGCACCAGCCAGTCTCATCCTCGAGCCGTACCTGAAGCCCAGGCCAGGCATGCAAGATCACAGTTTGGCCCCGCAGCTCCACATACAGCAGCGGCTCCTGCAGGAAGGGCAAGGCCACTAGGCACCCGTTCACCTGGGAGAGAAGGGAGGAGGGCGATACTAGGGGCAGACGAGAGCACGGCACTGGACAGCCCTTCCCCAGGTCCTCAGCTCACCGTGACGGTCCCGCCCTGCAGCAGCTGTACCGTCGCATCTCCCAACAGCACTGCCACCTCCTGGGTCCAGGCCACGCCTCTCCGGCCCCGGTCGTCATTGGTGACATGCACGCTGTAGGCAGAAGAGCCCTGGGTGCCCACAGAGGGCAGGGCTGGGTACAGGGGCCGGGTAGAAGGGAGAGCGGTGCCCACCTGAAGTCCCCACCGCGGCAGTCCTTGACCAGCACGTAGCTGCAGCTACCCTGGAAGTGCAGCAGGCGGCCATCGAAGGTGCGGTAGTGGGGGTCTCCGAAGGCCATGCAGGAGGCAGGCCGGGGCAAGCAGTGGGGGCAGCAGCTGCGGGGACTCAGGGCCGGAGCCTCGTCCTGGCCCGACACAGTCAGACTCCAGGTGGTGCTCCCAGACATTCAGCCCTGCTCCCACCCCTGCTCCCACACCTAACCACAATGCGGGCCCTCAGTCACCCACCTGGGCTCAGGGCACCACCTGTGGCTGCACCTGGAACGGGCACTTCCCAGGCTGCACTGCTGCCCCCCCCACAGAGCAGCAGCCCAGGCTCCCTCCCTCAAGCTTGGTCACTCTCAGATGGTTGTGCCTCAGGTGCCTGACCCCACTGCCTTAGACCACACACTCACTGGGCTGCACGACAGCGGTGGGCAGCTCTGGCTTTGGCAGTGCACGGTGCCAGCCACGCAGGAGCAGCTGGTGCAGGCATCTACAGCCCAGCGCTCCCTAGAGGTCACCTGCCGGCCCTGGAGCTCACATGACTGGGTAGAGGCTGAGGGGCGGGGAAACAGGCAGGGTCAGTGCCCCCTTGTCCATCTCTGTTGCCCCTCCTCCAACCTCCAGGCCCCTCACCTTGGCATCTCTCACAGCAGCTGTCATTCTGGGACACCTTCACCCAGCCGTGGGGGCAGGAGAGGGGCTGGCACTCCTCCAAGTGACACTCCACATGGCCCCGCTGAGGACAGACCCCATTGCTCTAGGGACTTCCGGCAGGGCCCAGGGTCCCTAGTCTCACGTGTCTGGGGCCTTTCGGGCAGAGTCGCAGGTAGTATTCCTATCTGCCTGCTCCCAACCCATCATGGTTCAGGTGGGAAATAAAATCCAGCCCTCAACTCCTCAAGGACCGCGTATTTGCTGGTGAGTGTCAGACCCTCCTCTCTTTACCCATCTGTGAGTCCTGCACTCCACCCCCAGATTACATGGCAAGTGCAGGCAATGCAGGCGTTGCTGGGGTCCCGCCAGCTCTCTCCATCTGCTACTCTCCGGCTCCCGGCCTCCACCACACATTCTAAGAAGAAAGAATGGGATGGGCTGGCTCTGTCTTTCCACCTGGGTCCTCCCCTCCCTGGGCTCACTCTGTGCTTCCCAGCAGGGAAGCGTCCAGGCCATACCACCAGCATCTGGATGGGGTTAATTTCTTCAACCAATATCCAGAAAGCCTGGCCAGTTTTGAGCATTGCACCAGTGCTCTGGATGTCTCTAGGGTCCTGGAGGCCCAAAGAAGACCCTGGAGCCTGCCTCTGGGACAGATGTCAGATTCGCAGTGCAGTGCCTACTGGTGGGCCACAGGTCTGTAAGCCCCATGAAGAGCCTCAGTCCAGGCCTTGAAAATCTAAGTTGCCCTCTGTGCCTCCATCTGCCTCATGGGACTCCTCTCTTACCCAACAAACAGCTCCCCCATTTTTCAAGGATGAAACCAACATTCAGAGTGTAGATCCCAGGCCTCACACTTGGTCCATGAATGCCACCACATCCTGTCTCCCTCTGGGGCTCTTCTCCAAGGGGAAGGCCAAGGCTGGAACTCACCCTGGCACACAGGGCAACAGCTCCCAGGTGGTGTGCGGTGCTCCGACAGGGGACAGCTGAGCTCAGGACAGGCCCGGTGAATGCAGAGCCACGTCAGGTCCTGCCCGTTGTCACACAAACACCACAGGGAGAGACAGCAGATCTCAAGGAGTTGGCAGGATGTAGGTGGGAGTAGGACACCGGTAGGATCAGAAAGGATCACAGAGGACAGTTCCCGAGGCAGAGGGCTCACCTGGCACTGGCAGGTGTAGCAGGGGTCTGGCGGGGCCAGCTCGGACCCCAGGAGGCCCTCTATGCAGTTGCTCAGTGCTTCTGTGAAGACAAAAACGCGGTATGGAAGGAGGCTGGAAAACGCAGGGAGCCGGGCTCACACTCCCAGGTCTGTCCTCAGAGTTCTTGGGCCCAAGGCAGACCTATATCCCAGGCATCAGGACTCTGGGGAGGGCACAGCAGGAGCTGGAAAATGACAAGGTGTGGCTTCCTCAATCTGAGGTCACTAAGAACAGCCAGACTGCCTGGCTTGCTCCCACTGTCACTTCCTTTAATAATCTGGCTAACGAAGCACAAGGGAGCACAAGAAACCAAGCATCCCAGGTTCTCGTCCCGGCTCTAGCCCTGGGTGTCTGTACCATCACGAGCAGAATAACCAACCTCTCTAAACCTCAATTTCTTCATCTGTGAAACGGGGTAATTTTCATTGGGCAACTGTGAAAATTAAATGTGATACTCCCCCTCTAGTTTTATAAATCCTTACTCTAAATGAAAAAAGAACAAAACAAAAACAAAATTCAGAATGGTTCTCCTTATCCTGGTAGCCAATTCTCCCCTCTAGTCCTCACCTCACAGGCCCCTAGGAGCCCTCAGCGGACACAATTGCTGCCCTGCAGCGCCACCTGCTGGGCAAACTGCTCCACAAACACGTCCAACTTCAGAGCGGCCAGGGTCCCTGCCAGCTCACCTTGCTCCTCCTGGCTGCCCTGGGGCTGTGTTCGCCCCATTTACTGGGGAAAGAGCCAAGCAGAGTCCACTGGAGTCTGTAAAGAGCTGGGGCTGGGGCCATGGAGGACAGACAGCTTGCTGGCTCCTCCTGCATCCCCCTGAGGTGCAGCCCCGAGCTCCTAGTTTATCTACCCTGAGCCCCAGTACTCACGGGCACAGGTAGGGCAGCAGTGTTGGGGCCCAGGGGATAGGAGTTGGCTGGGTGGGCAGCCCACCAGACTGGGACACTGCCGCCGATGACAGTGGAGGCTGGGAGGCCCCTCAGGCTGTGGCTGGAAAAGTGAATGAGCAAAGTTTGGATGCCAGGCCAAGACAGCAAGAGGCAGCCCTGTCCGCCTGCTCTGCTGCACCTTCTCCGGGGTGTGCGTGGGCAAACTCAGCGTCTCCCTAGACTTGCTCCCCTGAGTCCTACTGCCCGAAGATGATGTCCCTCCTCTTTCCAGTCACTTGGGTCAGAACTCTCCTGTGTCCCCGCCCGTCTCCACTGCCCCTCCTCGGCCCACGGCACCACTCCTGCTCAGATCCCTTCATCGGCTCACCACTGTCTCCCCTAATATCCATACACTCCAGCTGGCTCCTCCACCCCCATCCCTCACCCCACAGTCCAGCCGGCAGGGCTGCCCACTGCCCCCTCTAACTCAGGCCTTGTTCTCCATGTCTAAACCATACGGCCTGGCCCTGTTCGTCCCAGCCCTGCCCAGTCCTGCCTGCTGGAACACCATCCCCTCTCAGCCCCTCCAAGCAGTGACCAGCTGACGGGGCCTCTCCATGTTGCCGCCCTCTCTGGGGTGGCCCCAGCCTCCTACCTCACAGATGCACAATTCGCAGGGGTCTGCCCCAGGCTGGAAACTCTCCCCGGCCTCATATTTCTGGCCCTCATGCTCACAGCCTTGGAGTGGGACAAGAGAAGGGCAATGCCAAGGAGACTTGAGGCTGGCAGCGATACCATGGGCTGGGTCTTCTGCCCTCCAGCCCCCCCTGCAAGGACTGGGCTGCCTACAGAACAGAGTCCACTTCTCCTAGAGCACCCCCTCTGCCATTCAACCCCACCAAGGTGGGGAAGTTATGGACCCCAGCCCATCCCCTCTCCCCATCCCAGGATCCCAGTACCCTTGCATCGAGGGCAGCAGTCACTGGGCCCCTGGTGGGGCTGGGCACAGGAGCTGACACACTGGATGTGGGCACAGGTGATGACGCCCTCGTGACACATGCAGGAGGAGCAAGGGCTGTCGGGGGGCACCCAGCTACTGCCTTCAGGGTGCTCCTCTCCATGAGCGAGGCAGCCTGCAGTCCGGGGGGTGGGATGAGCTCTGAGCCCGAGATCTGACACCTGCCCCGCCCCCTCCCACAAATAGTCAGCAGGACAAGTGGACACCAGGGTGGAGATCTGAGGGATGTGGCCTGGAGGCAGCGGATGGAGCCCTGTCTGTGGTGAAGGGAAAGGAACAGGGCAGGGTCGCAGCTCCGGGACTGCCCTGTCCTGTCTGCTTGCCAGACTGAGTTGCATGCAGCCGGCACTGCCGGCTGCAGTGCTAATGGGCGCTCTGGCTTATGGCAGGTGTGCAGCGAATGCATGGGGCTCTTACTAACCCTGTGTGCCAGGTAACCTCGTCTTTTCAAGCCTCAGCTTCCTGCTCTGTTAAATGGGTGCTACATCTGCCCTGCTTTCCTCACAGGGCAGGAGGGCCACCTACATGGCCCTGGGCAGCACACAGGGTGAGAGGTGGCAGGTAGGCTCAGAAAGGCTCATGTTCTGGAGCCAATGGACCAGGACAAACCATCTTAACTCTGCTGCCTCCAAGCCAAGCAACCACTAGCAATTTCTTATCTCTTTGTAATTCTGATTCTTGTTTGTTTGTTTGGGGGTTGTTTTTTATTTTTATTTATTTTGGGAATTGAACCCAGGGAGCACTGAGCTATATATCCTTAGCCCTGTGTTTTTGTTGTTTTGTTTTGTTTAAGACATAATGACAGCAAGGGCTGGGGATTTAGTTCAGTGGGCTGCTGCCTGCCTCACAAGCGCAAGGACCAGAGTTCGATCCCCAGTACCAAAAAAACCAAACAAAACATAATGACAGCAGGAAGTGGTGATGCATACCTGTAATCACAGCACTTGGGAGGCTGAGGTAGAAGGATCACCATGAGTTTGAGACCAGCCTGCACTACGTAGTAAGTTCAAGGCCAGCCTGAACTATTTATGAGTCCCTGTCTCAAAAAGATAAAAAGGGACAGCAGCACTTATCTGATAAGACTGTTGTGCAGATTAAATTAGATAATAGGAATAAAGTACTTAGCTCAGGGCCTGGCCCCGCTCAATAAATGCAAATTACCAGGGCAATTATTATTATTATTACTATTATTATTATTAGGGCACGGACAGGAAGAACAACAGCTTCAGTGGAATGTGACCGGCACGTAGACGGCTGGCCTGGCAGGTGAGCAGGGGGAGCAGGGAGAGGGTGGAAGAGCTGAAGGGGGTGAGGGTGACAGTCCAGTCCAGGACAGACATGTGGGAGGGCCAGCGGGGCTGAAGCGCCAGCACGGGGCGGCCTCAGGGCCGGGCCTACCTCTGCAGCGAGGGCAGCAGCTCCCTGGCTCTGTGACCTGGAGTAGGCACGCCAGGGGTGGACACTGCAGCCGCACACAGCTGACCTGGCCATCCTGCAGGAGATGTGGGCCCAGCAGCTGGCTATCAGAGTCAGGGGGTACCACGGGCCCCCAACCTCCACCATCCACCTGCTCCTTGCAGTCCCTGACAGTGACACCGCTCACACCTGCCTGCAGGCCCCTCAAACTCCTCCCCGTCCTGGTGCTCCTGGCCCTTAAAGAGGCAGCCTGTGGGGGACACACTTCCTGGGTGGGAACGTGCGCCACCCTGTCCCGCCCTGCCCACGCTCAGCCCGAGAGGAAGGGCGGGAAAGGGGAACAGCATGAGGCGAGGGCAGGTGGAAGGCAGCTCACTGCGGCACACAGGGCAGAAGCAAGGTCCTGGAGAGGGTTTCGGGCAAGGAGCCGGGAGGCACTGTCTCCTCTGGCAGCGCACAGAGCCTTCCTGGCCAGGCGAGGTCACACTGCCATTCCCGCCTCCCACACCACCCGTGTGCCCTTGAGCTGTGCTTGCTGTCCCTTGGTGAGCATCCTACTGAAGCCACCAGGCCCAAACCCCTTCTGCTGGCCCAGAAGACCTCAGCCCAGCTCCATCCTCCAAGATGTCATCTGGGAGGAGGAGACACCCTCCCTGACAGGAAAGCAGCATGTACAGTGAAAGGGCACCAAAGTCCCGAAGGCACTTCCTCACCTGGCAGGTGCAGAGGGAGCAGGTAGGGTCAAGTGGGTCAGGAAGGGTCTCTCCGGGGGCAGCAGTGATCCCATGGTAGAGGCATCCTGGCAGAGTGGGAACACCGTGAGAGCCACCATGGACAAAGCCCTACCTGTCACACACACAGCCATAGCTAGGGACACCCCCAAAAGCTTAAGGCAAAATTACTGTGCCTGGGAGAGCCAGGGAGAGTGAGGTGTGGGAGAAAAGACAGAGTTGGCCAGGCCGCAGAGGACAGGGTTTGCATGGCACAGGCAGACTGAAGAGGCAGAGGAGACGAAGCTGATGAAAGATGGCTGGGAACTTCCTGCCGGTGGGAAGGAGACAGTGTGGAGAGGCACACTGGACACGCAGCCAGGTGGGCTGGGTCAAGCAGGGCGGGCTAAGGCAGCTGTCCCTCCTGGCTAATGACTCCAGAGCAGAGTGACATGGTATTTTAGGAAGCAGTGAAACAATCTAAGAGTAGGAAGGTATGGAAACCAAAGGACCCATTATTCAGTGAGTGTGACCTTCTGGAGTAAGGTGACAGTACAGACAGAGGAGAGCATGCATATGGTGTGACAGCAGTCTGGGGACCAGTGCATGTCTGTCTCAGGAGAAGGCTGGCAAAGCTCCTGACCACTGGAGGCTATCTGGGGCCCTTGGGAGCCCCAGCAGGGGCCCAGAAGGGCAGCTGTCGCCCTACCCTGGCAGATTGGGCAGCAGTGCTCTGGAGGGGTGAGGGGGTGGCTACAGCCTACAGGCTCGCAGGGACGGCGGCTGCAGGTCACAAAGCCTCCAAGGCAGGTGCACAGGTTGCAGGGTTCTTGGGGATCCAGGAAGTCCTGCTTGCTCAGGTAAGACTCACCCAGGTATTCACAGCCTGCCAAGGTGAAAGGGAGAGGGGAGGGCTGGAGGAAGAGAGGGACGGGAGGTGGGGAGAGAAGAAGAAGAGAAAGAGAAGAAGGAGGAGAAGAAAGGATGGGAAGGAAACACTGCTGGCCGGCAACTTTTCTCCCTCAAAGCCTGTGAGAAATCCTTTCCCTCTCCAGGAAACAGTCTTCATGGATCTGTCCCTGGGGTTAAATACTCAGCAACCCACTGCCAGGGGCACTGATTTTCCCAGCCTCAGGAGTGGATGTAAGTGGTGTGTGGCCAAGGGCTCCCTTCCCAATGCCCCAGTGCGGGTACTGAGTTCAAGTCAGTAGGAAGTCAGGGAGCAGAGTTCAAGATGGCAGGAGACACACGGACTGTTGTAGGCTCAAGGAATCCGGTTCCATCCTCAGAGCCAGAAACTTGCCTGAACTTTAGAGGCACTAAAGGGGCAGGCTGGCTGGGATTATCCACTACCCAACCATGAAGCTGCAGCTAGCTTTTTGGGATTAATCAATTTGGTTCTAGACCTTGTCAAACCAAAAAAACAAAACAAAACAACAAAAACAAAGAGAGATTGAATCTTTGAAAGCCTTGACAGGCAAAAGTATCTCTCTAGAATTTAACAATATTTTATTTATTTTCTTCTTTTTTGAGACAAGGTCTCACTATGTAGCCTAGTCTGGCCTCAAACTCTCAGCAATTCTCCTGCCTCTGCCTCCCAAGTGCTGGGATTATAGTCGTGCACCACCATGCCTGGCTTGTATTTCAATTATATTCATTTTTCCCGGTAACCTATTCCTGGCAAGTCTACTTTTCCATTTCCTATGGATGTAAAACTCCTATCTAAATAAATTTAAATAATAAATGAATTTATTTGAGGAAAAGTACAAAATAAATAAAACTTCCATTGGTAGAAGTTGTGTAGTAATAATTTTTAAAATAGGAGACACCAAAGATGTGGGAACTCGGCCTGTTCAATTGTTTTTTTTTGTTGATGTTGTTGTTGGTTTTTTTTTTTTTTTTTTTTTTTTTTTTTTTTTTGGTTTTTTTTTTTTTTTGGTTTTTTTTTTTTTTTGGTTTTTTTTTTTTTTTGGTTTTTTTTTTTTTTTGGTTTTTTTTTTTTTTTGGTTTTTTTTTTTTTTTGGTTTTTTTTTTTTTTTGGTTTTTTGAGACAGGGTCTCACTATGTAGTTGAGACTGACCTGGAACTCACTATGTAGCCCAGGCTGGTCTCGACCTCACAGTGATCCTCCTGCCTCAGCCTCCCGAGTGCTGGGATTACAGGTGTGCGCCACCAGGCCTGGCCCCTTTTTCTTTTTTAATAGGAGTTAAAAATTAAGCCCAAAGAGGTTATACGATTTGCCCAAAGTCATACAAATAGCATCAAAAGCAGAAGAAAATACAAGCTTTAGTCCAGAGCTTTTTCTCTTACTGTGTAAGAAAAAAATTTTCCGCATCCATTCTAGGGCAGTAAAGAGGATTCAGACCAGATCTCCCACCCCCCAACACCCTGGAGCCTCCGCCCCACAGCCCCCTGTCCCCTGCCCCTCACCGTCACAGGCAGGGCAGCAGTCTCCCCTGGCAGGGAAGGGGCACTGTGCAGGGGCACAAGCCCTGGGCTCGCAGGTGACACTGCCCTCCCAGCAGAGGCACTCGTGGCACGCGGCGCTGGGCAACGGGAAGCGCTCCCCGCTGGCGAACTCCTTCCCCTGGAACAGGCAGCCTGCGGAGGTGGGTGAGGACTGGGAGGCCTGGTATTTGGCTCCCGGCCCTGAGACACAGCACTGACTTATTTAACGCTAGGAATGAACCCAGAGGCTGGGCGTGGTAGGCAAGCATTTTGCCACTGAGCTGCACCCCATCCCCCTAATGCCTAGAGAGAACCCCGATGTCGGAGGCTCATAGGAAGGGGAATTCTGGGAGTGGTGGGGACCCAGCAGGGGCGGCCGGATGTTGGGGGACGGTACCGTCACAGGAGCGGCAGCAGCGCCCCCGGCGGCTAGGAATGAACCCAGAGGCTGGGCGTGGTAGGCAAGCATTTTGCCACTGAGCTGCACCCCATCCCCCTAATGCCTAGAGAGAACCCCGATGTCGGAGGCTCATAGGAAGGGGAATTCTGGGAGTGGTGGGGACCCAGCAGGGGCGGCCGGATGTTGGGGGACGGTACCGTCACAGGAGCGGCAGCAGCGCCCCCGGCGCGAG